GTTTTCGTGTAGGGGTTACAAAGAAGAGGTTGGAGGTGATTTTAGGTGAAAAACCAACCAAAACAAGGCTGAAAACGTTGGCGACTGAGTGGTGGTGATGGCTGTGTTGGGGGGGAAATTAAAAGTAAAGGGGTAGGATGGTAATAGCACAAGTTAGAATTCAAAATTAATTAACAGTGTCAGTTTAAAGGTGTGAATTTGAAATAAATGCAACTAGGGGTATGAACTTGGGATTTCACTAAACCTCGGGTGGGAACATATCGTTTGCTCCAATGAATATAAGATTTTGTGGTATGATATTGTGTTTCTTATCGTTAATATAATATTTGACACATCAACTATCACATCATTTGAGATCCAAATTTTGTATATCAATCATCACTCTGAGTAAAAATCGAATATTAGTATTTAAATTTAAACCTTAAACTATCAAGTAAAAACCCGAAATTAATATTTGAGTTTACCAAGTGACAAAAAGAGTGGCATAATATTTAGTTGAAATTTGTTAAGCTTTCAAACTAGGCACAACTTAAATTTTAAAATTAAATCAACCACAACTAGCCATAAGTAGACCTTTAGACTTTAGCCAACATCAAGACATGCACAAATCAAGTTTGCATGTTAAAACCCACATCGAAGAGAGAATGATATGGCACAAATTTGAACACAAAGGTTAGAAAATCAAATTTGCGAGAAAAAAATCAATGCATACTAACTTTAAAGCATAATGACCATCGTCAACTACTTAATTCGAATTATTCTTTCCAAACACAAATTCTTTCGATATTTATTACAAGAAAATGGAAATTTTAGATTTGTTTATTTGATGTATGGCACTAGATAATGTAATTGATATAGGATTTAGATATACAATTGGATGGTGAGGATTTGGGAATACGAAAAATAGAGAAGTATAATGTTTTTTGCAATAGTTTTTTAACCAATATTCAATCTATAAAAGGTAGAGAAATGCTACGAACACCGATCACTGACACCAAATTTTTGTATCGATGTACGTGGCATCCGAGTCAGAGGTGGCCATGTTGGACACTAACACGTCTTTCGTGAATGAACGACCGTCCAACAATCAGGGATGCTAGTCTATATTTGATGGATGATTGTTCATTACAAATGGACTCCCATCCATCAATTTGGTATGAAAATAATAATGGACCATCGTCCATATAATATGAACAGGAGTCCATTTTCTATGGACGGGCGTCTATTTTCTATGGACGGGCGTCCACCTATAATGGATACTTGTCCATAAATTTTAAAAGACCATGCATGGATGCCAGTCTATAAGTCTCACTTTCCAATTGATCCAATTAACATCCCCTCTTTTGAAAAGAAAAAGGTGAAGTTAGAGAACTGTTGGCTTCATTGTCAAAAGTTCCACTAGCAAATGTGCAACATTTGGTAGGAAGAAGAAGGTCTCGTGAAACTCACAGGGACCCCAGTGCCCATTACCAAACATTAGAACTACTCAGCATAATCTTCTGTTAAACGTGTGGAATGGAATGAAATATTTTATCTTCTCAATAACATGATCAATCCCAACACTACAGATTATACCATATTTAAATTGTCCGAATTCTCTTCAGGATCATTCATTATTAGTTCATATGTAATTACAATTGCATGCAACAATGGATTTGAGCACAGACGAAGAAGTAGTGCATGAGTATCTTCCATATTTTCGTGCCTACAAAGATGGACACATGGAGAGATTCTTTGGCTCCGATAAAGTTCCTGCATTGATTGATGGTTCTCAGAACGGTGTCTGCTCCAAAGATGTTGTTATTGTTTCAGAAACCGGGCTCTTAGCACGTATTTTTATCCCATCAGGCACAACTAAACCAGACAAAAAGCTGCCTCTCATGGTTTACTATCACGACAGAGACTTCTTCACAAGCACACCTTTTTGCTCCGTTTATAACAATGCTGTATCGTCTCTAGCCCCCAAGGCTAATGCCATCATCGTCTCTGTCGATTACAGATTAACCCCATAACACTATGTCCCCGTAGCTTACAAAGATTCGTGGGCTACACTTAAGTGGGTGGCTTCTCATTACAATGGTGAAGGCCCTTAAGCTTGGCTGAACAACAACGCTAATTTTCATCAAGTTTTTCTAGTTGGGGATAACACTAGAGGCAATATGGTGCACAACATGGCCATCCAAGCAAGCATTGAAGACTTAAATGGAGTGAAGTTGTTAGGAATTTGCTTGGTCTTTTAAAAATTTATGGATAGGAGTCCATTTTAGGTGGACGCCCGTCTCTAGAAAATGAACTCTCGTCCATATGATATGGACAGGAGTCCATTGTTATTATCGTATCAGATTGATGGACGATAGTCCATTTGTAATGAACGGTCGTTCATCAAATATGGACAAACGTCCATGAGTGGTCGCCTCTGACTCAAATGCCAAGTACGTTGGTACAAAAATTAGGTGTCAGTAATCGATGTCCGTAGCATTTCTCCAAAAGTTATTAGTTACATTGCTATTTACTTGTCTACATTACGCGTAATGTAGTATGACTCGCTAAACCACCATTGGGTGGTTTGATGGTAAATGAGCAAATGAGGATCTAAGTTTACATAATCTTTTGAGTTCAAGTCCTCACAGCCCCTAATAGGGGTAGTCACTAGAGCTCTTACCCGATCGGTAGTTCTAGAGTCTTAGGTAATTAGTTATGGTATTTGTAAGCTAACCCAAACTCCCTTGGTCATTACAAATTAATTTAAAAAAAAAAAAACCTCTATATACCACAAACAAAAGGTCACTTACATAGATTATAAATAGTACTATACATGTATCTCATTCGTACTAATTATTTCATATAAACTAAATGAGTAAGTTCACATAAAGATCGTTTTAAATAAATGTTCAATAGACACAAAAGAATGACATGTCGATAAATAAATTGTGCCACATTAATTTGTGTGTAAAAGTTTGTATATTTAATTTCTATATATTGCACCAATCATAAATCGTTTAAGGGGCTCGGTTAAGGGTAGACTTTAAACACTTGTAGAGTCCCTAATATTTCCTTCAATATGGATTAAAAAATTTTAAGCATTCCACTTGGTTGAATAAATGACTATTTATATTGAATATTAACAATTTTTGTTTTTTATTTTTCATTTTTTCAAGTCTAATGGTGTGTTTGATTTATGAATGATGCTACACATATAAATTATTGATACAAACTATTATTTATAAGTTGATGTGGTAATTTTAGGGATGACAATGTAGTGATTTGGGGGCGGGGAGGTCTCCTCCATTCCCCACCTCATTTAGGATTTTGCTCTCCATTCCCACCTCGTTCCTCAAATTACTTAAGTTGGTCGAGGATGGGGAATCTCAACATGGGCAATGCGTTCCGTGAACCTACTTCAGTCCCAAATTTATTTATATATAAACTATATAAATAATCACATTAAAAATAAATAGCATTATAATAAAGCCAATCAATACTATATAATATTAATGTTCTAAATAAAAATAACTATAACATATTGTGGCAATATTAAAATGTAGGAAGTTTAAACAAGTCATAACCAAAAGACTTAAGGAAAAAAAAGACACTAAATTGTAAAATAATTTCCAATGTGTCATAGTATCATTTATTTCTTGATTTCTCTTCCTCAATAACCCTTAAGACTTCATTCATTTAAAATGTGAAATAAACAAAATATACAATAATTTCCATTTATTATAATAATTATAGAAACTTCTTATTTAATTTTATAATGGGGAATGGAGTGGATTTGAGGTGGGGAGTACTAAATGAGTAATACTACATATACATCATTTTCATACAACATTATGTGGCAAGATATGATTGACTAATTTAAAGTTAAAATTAAACTTTCACCCAACCGTATCTTGCCACATAATATTGTATGAGAATGATGCATGTGTAGTATTATTCGTACTAAATCCATTCCCTATTCATTTCAACATGGGCAATTAATTTGCTCCCGAGACCCAACCCATTCCTCAAGTTAACTTTCCTATCCCTGCCCCAATAGAGGCGGTTCCCTATCGGTGTCCAAACTCGTGGAACATTTTGCCATCCATATGTAATTTTCAAATTTTGTATATTTCACATGTAATATCTTTTAGCTTATTTAATTTAAAAGTCATCAAATCATTTTGAAATACTCCAATTTGTATGAGAGGGTTTATAGATAATGTATTACTCTTGTTTTATAGTTACTCTAAACTAAATATCTTAAAAATTTGATTATTGAAACATATAATTTTGTAGCTTGAACCCAAATCAAATTACTTGATTAGGTTCGGTTTTTAAATATGAATACTTTGCCCATCCATGGTTGTATAATGATGAATACATTAGCAAGAGCAATTATGTGTATAATAAGGTATTGGTATGGTTGAAATTTATTTAGAAAGAAAATGTGAAGAATTTTTGGGGTAAGCTAGCATACAAGTCACGCAGATTGCACGTGCTGCGCGGCTACTCTCCCAAATTTTCGTCTCCCGCACATTCAAAATTTGGGACAGAGAATAGGAGAAGATTTTTACCACCATTTGCCTTTCTTTCACAACCCGCCAGAGGAAATCAGGAAACCCTTACAAATACTTTTGAACCGTCGATTAACATCTTATTTACGGTTCACATCTCATCTCATTTTTTCAAACAGATATACATTCTTAGCCGTTGATAAAGGATTATCCAACGGCCATTTGTCGACCCGCATAAAGATTTCCAATTTCCAAACCCCAAAAAGCAAAGCACGTGTCAAGCATCACAGCCAATTAGAGTCCTTTCACGAGGATATTCATTTTGGACCGTCGATAAGTTAAAATCTAACGATCCAAAACTAATCCCGCCTATATCCAAAAGCCCCAAGCCCCGAAAACACACTTTATCTCACGAAACTTTTCAAATCTCCTATTTCACGCGGATCGAGCCTGTCTACCGTCGATTAAAATTTATAATCACATTATAAATATCCCATCTAATTCACGATTCCACATCACTCCCACAACAATTCAGCTAACTCGATAACTATCCTTCTCAGAAAACCCCTTTTAAGACTTCAAAACCTTTCATTCAAAAATGTCGGGTCGTGGAAAGGGAGGCAAGGGTTTAGGCAAGGGAGGAGCCAAGCGTCATCGTAAGGTTCTCCGTGATAACATTCAGGGTATCACAAAGCCAGCAATTCGTCGTTTGGCCCGTAGGGGTGGAGTTAAGCGTATCAGCGGTTTGATCTATGAGGAGACCCGTGGTGTTCTCAAGATCTTTTTGGAAAATGTGATTCGCGACGCTGTGACTTACACTGAGCACGCCAGAAGAAAGACCGTGACGGCCATGGATGTGGTCTACGCGCTCAAGAGGCAAGGCAGAACCCTCTACGGTTTCGGAGGTTAAGTTGTTAGATGGTGGTTGTTTCAGGATTTGGTTGTTGGACGGCTGATTGTTAATAGATCTTGTCTCTAGATCTAGATCTGATTACTATGATAGTTATTTTGTCAGTAGCGTTGTGATTCTGTAATTCTCTGTTACATGTTTTTATGGAATCAATATAAATTTTAATTTCCTTGAAATTTGGCATGGTTGTATAGTTTTCCTCTTTAAATTTATGTTGTATGCTATTTTGATGCTCTGGAAATTTCTGATAAACAGTTGAGATGCATTAAATTCTACTTTAGTAGTGTATTATCTTTAAAAATGGAAGTGTATAGAGCTTATCCTCTTTTCTTGTTTTAAATAACTGGAGCAATATGTCGAGTGGATGAAAGGAACTGCTAAGCTATTGGGTTGTTTTTTTTATTCTTCTTATCAAAATCGTGTTACAATGTAGTGTGGACCATGTGTTTGTGTAAATTACATGAAGCGTTTTAACATCTGAGTTTTAATGAAACTATTTGAGGCTGAAGTAGGGAAAGTGAAATTGCTTTTCATGATAGTATGCGACATTGTTTCTGGAAATCATCTGAAGCATCTTTTGACTTGCCAATTGGTTTGATCTTGAAGCTGACGGCCTTGATAGGTAAGTTTTGTGAATTGCTCTAATTGCGTTGATAGAAGTTGCAGTTTTTTGTAATCATATAACCTTGAAATGGTTTTAGTAGTAGATTACTTGTCTGATTTTTGTGCTGCATAACAACATTAACTTAGTGAATATTAGCTGTTTGCACTTGGTAATAGTACTAGCCCATAAGGTATTGGAGGTTCATAGTTTAAACAAATAAAAATATCTTCATGCTTAAGCTAATATATGTGTTTTTGTCTGGATTTCAATAAGTTTGATCTGCTCTTTGTCTCCACATTATTCGTTTGCTGGGTGATATGAGTCTAATAGAGGTATTGCACCAGAACTTGCCACTCAACTGCAATTCTTTCATTTGATTAGGTTCCTATCTAATTCATTTTTGGCTCTATATTAGTTCGAAATTCGAATCAATATCCTGTGAACTCTCATTAAAGACCTGCATTTCCATTTTTCCGTTGCACATACCATATGATGATACTATCTATCCTTCCTTCTCTTTTTATATTCACATTAATTCTATTAATCCTTTCCTGTTTCCTATTAAAAGTTCAGATATGCTATTTCTTCATCCGATAACTTGACAGGTCTCTTACCATTTCCTGGATTAAATTCTGCCAGGTCCAAATGTAAGGAGAGAGCTATGAGCCTATGAGGTACCATTTATGATTTCTCTTTTTTTACCAGCTTAAGAGTTTAAAAATAAATAAACAGAAATTTAGGTTTGCAATATTGTTTTCAAGAGGTGAGTTCTGACTTCTGAGTTGCACAAATTTAAGAATTGAAGTTCCATTTCGTCATCATATTTTCATTCGGTATGTTTCGTGTATCTAAGTATTAACTGGCGGATAAAGATAGTTTGATAAATACTTTGACATTCTTTCACAAATATAATGTGATAGCTCACAAATCGCAATAGATTGATTAAATGAAACTCATTGTTGGGCAGGAAGGATCCATGCGAGTTGATCAATTGCAAGTTAACATGTCATTTTTTTAAAAAGTTAATAAGGATTGTTTGTCGGTATAGTATTTGTATACTCATTACCTGGCACATAGATTCTAGAAAGCTCTTTCGTGGCCTAATAAACCAAGCTCACGTGCGTCCTGGGCGAGATCTTTTATCCTAAACTCATAACTCTGGTTTCTTCTATATGTAACACCCTTGGGCATCACCCAAAGGCTGTATGCGTCTTTTTCAGAAACCAGGACAAAATCCGATGCTTGTGATCCGATATTTACCTTGGCTTTGATACAGTTACTGATTGTATAACTAGGCTACCAATGAGAAAGCTCAGAGAAAAAAAATTAAAAGTTTGCCATAGATTATACAATTAATATTAAAAAGCAAAATTTATACTCTTACCTGACTTTTTTCTCTGATTTTGCAGATGAGAAAAGCTTTATTCTGATTTTGTAAGTGGGAAAAACTTTTCCCACACATTGAATTATATATATATATATATATATATATATATAGTCATTTTCTCTCTCTTATTATCGTAAACAAGATAAGCAACATTTAATTTAAAAAAAAATTATATCTTCAAAACGATATTTAAAAAACAATTGAGGGAGTATAACATATAACCATAGTCAAATAATGAAAAAAGAACATAGAGAGTGCTAAGTATTTATTTAAATGTTACTATTTTTGATATTGAAATTTCATTTAATGTGTCAGATATTTTATGAAGAGAGTGTAAATTTTTTTGATTTAATTAGATTAAAAAAATATATCTTATTTATAATATCCATGTTGATATTCTTGTCGCAAGTAAATTTTGATATTTTAATTCAAGTTCTATATCCATGACTTATGGGTTTGAATTTTCATAGTATTAGCTCGTAAAGACGTTCCTTAACAAAATCGGTGACCCTAGTGCTACCAACCCGTCACAGTAGCATTGTTTAAAGTGGACAACCAACAGTGTTTGTAGTAGTGACACCTGTATGAACTATGAAGTATGAACCCCACAAGTCCACAAACTGAGCTCCATTTCATCGAACGTACAGAAAAATATAATTTCATTAATCAACCACCACAACGTAGCCACGTGCTGATCAAATACAACTTGGTTGCTGACGTGGACTCCCGAAGTATGCGTCCAACAAATAGCAAAGCTGCTCCGCGCCTCATTTTTGTCCCCACTTAACTTCTCTCTCCCGATTTTTGGAGAAAGAAAAAGAACTTTCAACTGTCTGGACCGTTCCCTCTTAGGTAATAGAACGAAAGGTCCAGCCCTGCAAGAAAGTCGTGGCGGAACTTTCCAGTTTCCAGTATGGGAGTGCCGAGCGACGACGCCGTTGTGATCCAAAAGGGCAAAGTTTCGGGAGATCCTCATGTGATTACAGTTAATTGTCCTGATAAAACCGGCCTCGGATGCGATATTTGCAGAATAATTCTTGAATTCGGGCTTTACATTGCAAAAGGAGGTATTCTTTGCTGTAATTTTAGATGATATTTTCCTTTATTAAAACTTGAGAGTTTGACTTGTTTGATTGAATTTTGTGTTTTATGTCACGGAATGATTGAGTTTGGCTTTCAGCTGGTAAACATGGAATTTAGTGCTGTTGTTAATACCAATATCTTTTGTGAGCAGTTTATTAGTTTTAGAACTTGTTTGACCATTCATTGAGTTGCTGGGTTAGGACATCAGTATGAAAATATATAATGTTTTGATTGATTAACCAGAAGGAATATTATGGAAAATAGCTTTTTGAAATTTTGCGTCCTTTTTAGTTGAACAGCCTTTAAACTTTTCTCCTGTTTGATTGATTATTAGTTTTCTTTTAAAATTCATTTGAAAAAAAGAAAAAAAGAAAAACAGTATCATCTTTATCAAATTTATGTGTATGCTGACGCCTGACAGGGTTTTTATTTTTTGGATACTTCTCTGATTATAGATATCTCAACTGATGGAAGATGGTGCTACATAGTATTATGGGTGGTTCCTCGGTCTGGTTCGATTATTGTAAGGTGGTCAAATTTAAAGAACCGCCTATTATCTGCATGCCCCTCGTGTTTAGTGTCATTTTACTTGGCCCAGCAGCCTACATGCCCTCCATCTTCACCAGTTTACTTATTGAAGTTCTTTTGCCTTGACCGCAAAGGATTATTGCATGGTAGTATAAATATCTACACCCTTAACGTTTTTCTGATTGTAAAATGTGCTAGTATATTAGTGGTTCTGAAATGGTTATAAATTCTTATGTCAGATGTTACTCAAGTTCTTTGTGAGCTTGAGCTTACAATTCAAAGGGTGAAAGTGACGACGACACCAGATGGAAGAGTCTTGGACCTCTTCTTTATAACAGATAACATGTGAGATTTGTTTTGGGTTTTCCTTCTGATATTTGGTGGCAATTTTATAAATTTTATACTCACGTTTCTTTGGTTATATGTGACGAATGTTTATTAATTTAAAATTTTGCTATCATGCACCACAGCATTCTGTCACACAAATGAAAATGTTGTCCACAATTTACTTGATTTGGACCATTTAAGTGTTCCACGTATGCCTCAAGTCTAACAAATGTCATTTAGTGTGTTATTGCATTTTTTTTTTTTTTTTTTAAGGTAAACCTAGTAATTTGTGTAACAAGTCTAACAAGTATGACTCAAGTCTAACGAATGAAATAACACCTAATAACAAATTACCAGGTGTTATTTCATTTTCGTCTGGTTAAATTGGTTTTCAGTTTGCATCTACCTTGTTTGGTGAAGTTTCATAGTATACTTTCTTATGAGTTTCTCTTTATGTTTATGGTTTTTTTGATGGAGCTTACAAGCCTTTTGATTATCAGATTAATGTACCTTCATTTGGGGGGCTGTATATTATGGAAGTAAACCTAATTATTGATGTTTCATTTACTAGGTATTGAATAGTTATTGATCAGAGAGAGTGGATAAACCATCTTAACTAATGGACCTATCATACATTTATTCTCTTTTTGTACTGATTTTCACTGCATTAATTCATGCTTTCACTTGTTGCTCATTGAGATATCTGTTAATAATTGAAAAATAATGCATTGCAGAAATGATGAAAAAGAAACCGTTAAATTGAGATGCCAATGGCATGTTGGGAGAGAACAAGAGAGTTGATGGCCATATTAGTGGTCCTCCATTTCATCATCAAAGCATCTTTGGCATAATTTGATTTTAGTGAACGTAACAAACTAATAAAAAAGTTGAGATGTAATCCTGCTGGTTATCAATTTATCTTATTTTCTACAATCGTGGTGCAGGGAACTCTTACACACAAAACAACGACAGGATGAAACGTGTGAACAATTGCATGCTGTGTTAGGTGAATTGGGCATCAGTTGTGAACTTCAGTTGGCAGGTCCAGAGTATGAATACAATCATGGTGTCTCTTCCTTGTCTCCTGTGGTGGCTGAAGAATTATTTAGGTCTGAGCTATCACAAAAAGAAACCCGATCACAAGCCCTTAGCCCAGATATGACAAAATTGAAGAAAGCAAATGTCATAATTGACAATTCACTAAGTCCAGCTCATACATTGCTGCAAATACATTGTGTCAATCACAAGGGACTCCTTTATGACATAATGAGAACATTGAAAGACTGCAACATGCAGGAATGTATTTGCATACTTCGTCATAACTGTCCAGGTTTTTTAGCATTAACAAGAAAAATTGGTTTACATTCTAATATGTATATATGTGTGTGTGCATGTCCATTTCCTGTTTGCTGATAAATGCTGTTTGTTGTTTCTTCTTACCCAGATAGCTTATGGTCGATTCTCACCAAATTCCAGAGGCTATCGAGATTTGGACCTTTTTATTCAGCAAAAGGATGGGAAAAAGATTGTGGATCCCGATAAGCAAAGTGCACTTTGTTCCCGTTTAAAGGAGGAAATGCTTCACCCATTACGTGCGATCATAACAGATCGAGGTCCAGATACTGAACTTTTGGTTGCTAACCCTGTTGAGTTATGTGGAAAGGGAAGACCACGAGTTTTCTATGATGTTACACTTGCTCTAAAAGTACTTGGGATCTGCATATTCTCGGTAAGAAACCATTACCTAAGAAGTGAAGTGATTCAAAGGCCCATCAGCATGTTGCGCTTCCATGGACTTGCTGAATGACAGTTGAAGGGGGATTGGTGCAGAGCACCCTAGCATAGACCTCTTTTATATATTCCTAATACTAGCTTTCTATGCTTTGGCATGGATGGCTACTAAACAATTTTTTTCTTTTCTCATTAAAGGTGGTGTAATACATGCAAGACATGGTGCAGAACCTGCAGATGGGCTTCTTGGATCTCTCTCTCTCTCTCTCTCTCCTTTTTTTTTTTTTTGTTTTTGTTTTTGTTTTTGGGTGCAATTACATATTTTGATAAGCAAAAGGCCTGTAACACTTTGCTTTCTTGGTTTCTAGGCTGAAATTGGAAGATATTCAACAGCAGATCGTGAATGGGAGCTGTACAGGTTTCTTTTAGACGAAAAGTGTAGATTTCAATTATCTAATATGGTAGCTAGAGAACATATTGTAGATAGAGTTAGAAGAGCATTAATGGGCTGGTGAGTTTATTTATTTTCTTTGCATCCTGATTATGTTTCCATCAAATTATCCACCAAGCCATATATTGGGTTCTAATGATCCTGACCAACTAGTTGAGTGAAATAATCCTTGTTAACAACTGCATGTACATGGTTTGTATTCTTGTGTATCTAATTATCTATGCATTTTGGGTGCGAATCGCTTTTAATATTTCGTTACTGATGGACGATTCTGATATAAAAACATGAAACTTTAGCCCGTCTAATGCTATCAAGTGATGTGATGCTTGGATTTTGTACGAGGGACTTGAAAGATATAGCTTTAGGTGTCCCAGTTACATGCCGTGTCATGTAAAATTGTAGCAAAAGTATTCTGCTGTAACTTCAATTAAGATCTAATGGTAAAGCTCTGTGATAATTAGTTAAAGGAGTAATGTTATAATTATTGAAGAGTATGTACTGAATTTGTGTATCGAATTGAATTTGTGTATCGAATGACGTAATAAAATCTTGATCTTGATTTATTATAAGTTAATATTAATTAATAATTATGATTTTATCACGTGATTTGGTAATTCTTATCATTTTCTTTTTTAAGTAAAGATCAAATCATCGACAGCAAAGAGACACAACGATGGGCCTTCTGTTTTGGACTCCGTAAGAGATGAAAACTTTTTGAGTTTCTTCTATTTTTTTTAATAGAACTTATAAATCGCTTTTACTGTGTAATATATTTCAAAGTAAAGATAAAGACAGGATTAGGAATCTTGAAAACTTAACCTCATTGACGGAAGCCACCAACCCCCATTACTCATACAGCACTGAAGCGTTCAAAATTCAAATGTATAGGTAGTTGTTGACAGGACGTGTTCAAATGTTGTGATCGAATTTCATATTACTAAGAAATGAAGCGTTGTAAAATAATTAAATATTCTTTGGTATCAATTTTCACGAGGAGCTTTGACTTTGAGCACGTGCAAGGTGGAGATTTTAATTTGAATCTGGACATAACTTTATTTTATTGTCACACTTTTCTCATGCGCTGAGTGTACTGTGTACCCCCATATAACTAACTATTGCTTTAAACGGATGTTAGGTTGATGTTTCATTTAAAATAAATAAAGTGCTAAGTGCAGACATCCATGATCAATTTGAAGAATATGTGTAGTATTCATATTGATTATTATTATTATTATTATTATTATTATTATTATTATTGGATTTGTTACACATAAACCCAATTGAATAATAACTTGCCCAATATAGATGATTAAAAGACTTAATCTAATGTTTAATAAAATAAAAAGATGATTTTTTTTATTATTATCATATAATTTGCATTATTTAAAAAGAATAATATATTATTATGCATATAGATTGATGCAGCAAGAAATAAATGAAATAGCAAAATACAAAATGAAACTTGTTAAATGAGCAAGAATGAGATGTTAATTAAAGGATATCACATGTCACTCTATATGTAAATTTTTTCATAAAATTACTTTTCCGTGTAGTAATACTGGTTTCAAAATATTTAACTTTCAAACATATTATTATATTGTGCTCACACACATTCTTATTACTTTTATATCTTATATATCATATAATTAATATAATTAATCAATTTGATAATAGAGTAGTGTAAGGGTGTATTACCATATTTTTATTTTGAAATATGAAAATAAAATAGTTTTAAAAACTTGTTTACTAAGGAAGCTTTAGCTTGGTGCGAAAACAATTTCAAAACTCAGTGATAAAAAAAAAAAAAAAAAGAAGTATTATTAAAAAATCTTAAAGATGGTCAGTAAAGATTTACTGTGCGCCGAGTTGAAACACACCATCACCAAAAAAAAAAAAAAAATCAGAAAAAGCAAACGCTGTCCGCAAACAATCTTAAATACTTTAACACGTGGAAAATAATAATAGACAGTCATATATAGCCATGCTTCTGAATAAAGTAATCCAATTAAATTTATCCTAATTTGATATATCCATAACTCAGCCAATCAAACACGTGTAAAATTAAACAACACACCACGACACGCCCATCTGTGCCGATTTCATTTGACCCTTCCCCGCACATTGTCTCGCCTCGTCGTGCTGTTGCTTCCCTGGTACGCCAGATAAACCATTCCTTATCATTAACAATTTAAATAATTTAGTTAATCGTTATTACTTGCAATGATATGGTGGGCTAAAGGCCAATAGAAAACGGTGGATTCAAAAAGAAGCTTTAAAAAGGGAGAACAGATTTGATTTTGTGACGATCAGATGAGATCAGTATTGTTTGAGGTCTGAAACGAAATGCTAGAAGCTTCTTCAACGCATCGACGCTCAGCTTATCTGAACGCGCTCACTCAAGAAATCGAGAAGAAGCTTCAGCGGGTTCGTTTTGAATTGTTGTTGACTTTTTTGTTTGTTTCATGAGAAAAAGAAGAGGACTGGGAAAAAAAAATTAAATATAATAAGCGTCTAGTTGATTAAATGTTCAATAAAATTTTCTTTTAAATTTCTATTTGTTGAATGAATGATAGGATTGAAATTCCTTTTTTTGTGTTCTTGTTTCACAGCTTATAAATGTAAATTGATATTTGCTTGAAAAGTATTAGAAAAAAAAAATTAGTTATAGATTTCTTAAAAAATGATACTTCATTGCAGGCGCTAGCTTCTCCTTCGCAGAGACGCAACTTGTTGCAAGAGTTGTTTACTGATGTGGCTCTAGAAATTGATGATCGAGCCAGAGGTGAGTCAAGGCTGCAAAAATACTTGTTTGTTCTATCTATAATGTGCGCAAGATAAGAGTTTGAGGTTATGAGTCAATAAAGATGAGCTTCTTGTTGTTACTAATTCTAATCCTCTTCATTTTGGTTAATTAGTTATTTTACTTGATCTTTTTGTGTAATAAATTTTGTGTGCATTGCAATCATAACAACTTTTACCCGCTTTTTATTAAATAATTGTCTTCCTAGTTTTGTTTATTAATGAACAATGAATTAGGAAATACTTTATGGCAATTGTAGAAGGAGAGGGATGGTGTGAATTGAAGATGGTGGGCTTAAGTATTGCTGTTAGTATTATTTTGCTGCACTGGTATAGCTCCGTAGTCAGTATAGGCTGGAACATAGTAATGTGTCAGCGAAATACATTTGCCTAAAATTTAATAGAAAAAGAACATATTTTGAAGTTTTAGATTTGCTATTATACAGATAAAAATTTACAGGGATGCAACTTTTGTGATGTGGAAAGTAATATGTACTTGCAACATTTGCAAGTTATATTTTGTTGCAAGCTTAATGTTCTACATTACAATAAGTGCGACATTCCATGTTACAAATATATAACACGTTTTGTGTTAGAGAAATTCCCTTCCCTTAATTATACTCTCCTGTAAATTGGTATTGTAGCAAATTTGATTTGTTGCACCACATGGATGCAGATGTATGGAGGCATATTTATAGAAATTTTGACATAGAATAAAAGATTATTTTACTGGGACAGGATTAGTAGCTAATGAAACTTTATTCATCACAAGAACTCAGTCATGTGATTTAGAGGCAGTCGAGATACATCTGTCAAGTGCTATGTTGTAATCACAATTCTTATAGGTTTTCATATTTTGTATTGAAATTGTAAACAGATATAATTCTGAGCAAGGAAGAATGTATGATTTATTCTGCTGTGGATGGTGCTAATGGTCAACTATGCTTTTATGATGTGCTTGCTGATTATTATGTTCGGGTGCCTGAGAGTGGAAATCATATCCTCGATTTGATTGTCCACCTGTGGAGCCAGTCGTTTGCATCACATATTTTCGCCCTCTTGTTCCACAAATGGGTATGTAAATGAGCATAGTGCTCAGTACATTTCAATTATAGATCAGACTTTATGTCCATTCAAAACAAATTTGTTGTGGTAATTATTTCTTACAAGAGTTTTGTTCAATGGTGGAAGCATATTATTCAAGTGTCTTAAAAATCTCATATCAATCTTTTAGGGAATTTAATTAATCTCAAGTTCATGTAAGCTGATGAGACACATCTTTTCTAACATGATTGTTTACTAAATTGAACTTGAGAGCCTGCGAAGACTGCTATTTTGTTGCTTTATTTTGGTCCTATGAAGAGGCTCTTTTAAAGTAACAAAAGTTTTTGTTCTATCATCTGTGGTTCTTGTAGTGGAATTGTTGGTCTTTTTATTGATATGTGATTTGGCAGCATTTCAACTGACAGACAAGGTAGATAGAAGATCTTTGTTTTTCTTTTCTTTTCTTCTTTTGCTTTTAGTTTTTTGGATCAGCTCTTTTATTGTGCAGTCATGTATGTGGAGGCTCCAAATATCCAAGCAATGTCATGTTACTGATGGATTAGGTTAAAATTTGATTTTGGACTTATTCTATATTTGAAAAGTAGAAGTAATTGAAGTGTTTATTATTTAACATCCTTATGATTATGACTCCATGGAATTCTGTCTTGTTTATTTGTATATTTAACTATACATTATATGGTTATTATAGCGTTGGAGTTGATTACTTGAGCTTCCTTGGTGTATCACAACTTTTTATTGCCATAAGAATTTAGATACATGTCCATATGAGGTTTTATTATCATTTATTAGTTATGGTGGATTGGTTTCCATAAATAAAGGCATGGGTAGTGTATTGTCTTCTTAGAAATACTACTTACCTATTTGGCCAATGAAGATTTTAGCTGATGATTGCAACTTGTTCCTTTGCTTTGATGTTCCTATGATGTTGAGCTGTATTGTTGTATCTTTGCTGCAGCTATTTGAAGTTCAAATTGACAGTAATGAAGTGCTCCTACGTTACTCATCTGCTCTTGTACAAGGTGCTACAAATGTTTTTTGGTATGAATATCATCAATTACTTAAGTACTGATTTTCGTTAAAATTGTTAGTTGTGGAGATGGCCTTAGTGGCTTTGGAAGCTGGATCTTGTTACTGCCAAATAGTATTGTGTTGCATGTCTTTAGGAGGCCATGCTTTTGAAAATGTTTCAGAAATTAAATTTCATTTTTTCTTTACACAAGATCTGAAATACTGTTTCAATTAGATCTTCTTTCATTCTCCCATTGCTTTCATATAAATTAGGCACCTAGTGCTCCATGGATTTCAATAGTCTAAAAACCAGAGTTTCATAGTTGAGTTCTCAAAAAAGGAATTTGAACAGTTCATAACATGCAATTCTGATGTTTTATATTATTTGTCATGTTTCTGAACGTTTTGAAACAAACTGTTTTCCATACCTAAGTCTGTTCTTTTCCTCCTCTGTAGTTTTTTCTGGTGCACTTCCTTCCATAACTATCCTTGTGATGATTTTCCAACAGACTGGCACTGCTGTGGTTCTATTATTTTACGTGCAGTCTTCTATCCATCTTGGTTTCCTGTTTTATAAATTGGAGAATAAAAAAATATTGGTTAATCCAACATTATTATTATTATTTTTTGGTTATATGTCTGGGAAGGATCCAATTTTTATATTGCTGTTATAATCCATTCTGGTGATGCATTAGAATGTCTGCTTCATTTGGGTTGTTCTGGTTATAGAAGTGGTGCTGTATGTTTTATGTAATAATTGCAATCTAACCTTATGTTTCAAGATACTCATCTTGTACCTTGCTGGGTTTTTTGTTAATAGTCATTCTCAACTTATGTGCAGGATTGACATCCAGGCAAACACCAGACGTTTCCAATCCCTTTTTCGGGTAGGAGTCCTTTCAATAGTGTAATAGATAGTTAACCATCTAAGCAGAACATTTTTTGTAATATGTTTTGACGCTCTTCCTGTTTTCTGTTCCCTTCAGTATCTTTTTGAGGAAGTTGCATTGGAGCACAAGCAAATAAACAAAATCCCTGGTCAGGTGAGCCAGTGTTCTTGCTCATTTCAATTTTACATCTTAGGAATGTTCTACTCAGTGCTGAGCTTTTTCCATGTAATGTGAAAACAATAATGTGAACTTTGGAATTACTTTCTAATTAAGTTGGTCACTATTCATTACTTTTTAGGTCCAACGCGATCTGCTTCTTCTACTTTCAAGGTTTATAATTTTTTACAACTCAGGTAGGCGTTATTATCTGTAAAAAATATCTATTGAACAAGAATTTACACTTAATTCAATGTGCTGTTCTATGCAGCTGATAAGCTTGAAAGCTTCTTAAAGCAGTTTCCTGTTTTTCCAAATGCTTTTTTGGTTGGGAGTCCAGCTGACTTCTTTGTTATTGAACTGACAGACCAGGTAGAGTTAATAAATTTTTTATTCAATACATAGCAAAATAGGTTTAGGCTTTGTCAGTCAGACCCTTTGAATGGACAAACCTTATTTAAGTTTTATCCCAACACCAGCGATTTGTGAGGAGTTGGTATATAATTGCTATGTTACATTCATATGGTGTTGCAACTCTGCTGTTTTTCAGCTTCAAAAATTGAAGGTGGAGCCAGTCCTGTTGCATTACCTTTCACAGATTAGAGTTCTCCAAGGTAAATTGTTTCAACTCCTTGTGAGGTTTAGATGGGTGATATTGTCTACTGATCATAATCGGTTTCAACTGCATGTAATATGGTATGACTTATGCAGGCATGGAACTTAGAATGGCCACAAGTACGAGGTTAAAGGCATGTTTGTATAGCTTCACTTCTCCTGGTGGCCCTATGTATCCTACAAGAGCTGTTCGTCATGCAGCCTGGGATGCTTTGGACTTTCTCTACCCTGTGAGTTTCTTTATTATTATTATTATTTTATGTCTATTACCATGATGTATTGACATAGTTATTGGAAATTTCCTAATCTTCTAATTAGCATCAAGCTTTATAATTAATTATTAGTTATTACTTGTCGCTTTTCGTAGAAATGTGTTTCATATTTTTCTAATCTAATTGGATATTTAATGACGATGGTTTGGTTTAATACTGGATATTGATATGGTTCCTTTTTGGTGACCATATATTCTCTAACATGCATGCCCTCAAGAGATTATAAACATATTGGTTGCAATCATGTATATATATATAGATATATTAGTTATTATTCCATAGTATGCAAAACTGGCTGTTAATTATTTGTAAGATTCTGAGTATCGTTGATGTATAACAGGTTGGGCAGTACCCTCGGCATCTGATAAGTCTGTTTTTTCGACTTCTGTATCCATGGTACTGGCCCTCTTCTTGTTGGAACTTTATAATGTCTTGCATAAAGGCTGTAGTATATACCCTGTTGGGGTGGGTCTTTTCCAGCTGGGAGAAGCTGAGGGAGCGAACGAATTCCTAGTTTCCTAGACGCTGTTACGGTAATGGATTTCTTGTATGGTTCGAAGTGGGACACTTAAAATATCAAAAAAGTGTTTGGGTGTTTTAAGTTAAGGACTGTAATGTGTGTTGTATGCGTAGTTTTGCTAATTTTTTCTTTGTTGCGCATGTCTTCGTTATGCTTCACCCCTTTCATTTTATTCTTCTGGGGGTATAGGTGTTACCGTTTCTTTTAATTATAAGACCATCTTTTTCCATAAGACATTTCTTAGATATGATGTCCTTTTTGGCCATGTATTCAATAATTATTTGTGTCATTAAAAGAGTGAGAGAACTCTGTTTTAAGTGTGAAAAAGGTATTTGAATATTTGTGTTTAGTTCATGAAATATTATATTAAGAGGAAGATATTTATCTTAAAGATTATTGTGAATGTTATATTAACTATGTTTGGTTAGATGTACAACGATCTGACTATTTTCCATCCGAGATCTATCCAATTATGCATCATTTTGCCATCGATGGTGATGTTCAATTCAATAGCGGGTCTTGGGTAATTGTTTTTAAGTTTAAGAGTATTTACGTTCTAACAATTTTATATGTAAGAATAAAATAGTTCATAAATTTTTTTAAAAACAAATGCATTATTCTTCAAAAATTTTAATAGTTAAAACCAAAACCAGCTTTATATTCTAATAACCACTAAATAATGTTGGTGCCCACAGCCCACAATATTCGATATTATTTGGTCCATACTGATGGAGCTGCCTTACTTCGATGACATTCGGACTCTTACGTACCACCCGATACCATAATGTTCGATACCACTGAAAAGTGAAGATACATTCTCCGCAATTTCCAGGTTGAACTCTCATTTTTTCTTCAAGGAGGCAATTTTGTTGTTGAAATTGAAGAAGGTAATACAAAATTATGGGTTAAAAGATTTCACCATGCCTCACGAAGGTATCACATAAACCTAAGACAGTAAAAAGGCTCTATTCACCAAATGAGGCCGCCTAAGCAACTGGGGCACCCGATACAAGCAGATAAAATAAAAAGAGAGAGACACCTCTCCAGACATGGAGCAGTGGAGTAGTAGGCAAAGCTTGCTAATACGATCAAGGAGCACACAAATTGCTACTCTCCACCATTTATAAGATTTATTTCATGCCAGTCACAAGTTTCAACATTAGCCAGAGTAGCATACAGCCTAAAAACAGGTTAGGTAATGCTATAAAGATATATAAGGGAACATCACTGCTTAAAATGGTATTATCAACACAGGTAATGATGGATATTTTACCAGTCAAGTAAAGCATTCAACTGCTACGTATAATGAAATATCTAACAAGCCATCCTGAAGACAACATCCGAGCCTGTCTCAAAAGGCATACCAGCTACGCAGCACCAAAAATCATACTGTTGTAACATCAGCACCCCATCTTCTAAGAGGCTGCTACATCTTCCAATGAACATTTGAAGTCGCTGATTACAGACTTCTAATGGAACTACATGTAAGTAAGACTACACAACCAAACAATAGCATTGATTGGCCACGCAATCTGTGACACCCTCAATCATGCTCAGTGGAAGAAAAATTATTCAAAGGCAACACAAAGAGGAATGACTAGAGCAGCTAGTAACAGCATCCTTTAGTGGCAGGTACAGACTTTCAGACACTCGCAACCAACTAAAATCAGAGAATGTTGATGCTGCCTTCTCTGACACCACTACTCAGCCACAGTTGGTCTTTCTATGAGAAACATAAATCAGCACGAGCATAAAGTACAAAACCATATCATTTCATGCACTTTACACTTGCTGGAAGCCTAAACAGAATCAAGCACCACAATATAGAGACAAAAATACAACAGAATGCTTTCACAAAACAAAATTCTTTGTCAGATATTAAAAAACACAATTGTTTCGTCATCTAGGAGAAATGCAATAACAGATAACAGTATCCCAATGATATTGATGAAAAATAAACATATGAGCTAATTCTACAGCTAAAGACATAAACCCAACCATGCAAGCAATTAAAAAATTCCCCACATTAACAAAACTAGATGCACTGAGATCCTGAACATCAAAGTTGTTCTCTATTTCAGAACCGTCTCCATGACAATCCACTTAGTATTGTCCAAAATGCAATTATCTTCACCAGAGTATCCCACCCATGTATCAACCGGACAATTGACACATGCCAACAGTCAATCAGTCATCCAAAAAATCAGGGATCTAAAACTTTCTGTGGAGAATATGTATAAGAGAAAATACAAGTAACTAAATAAGCTAAGAGCCTAACCAGCAAAATCAACAGACTCTTACCTGTTAAAGAAATCCCATGAAAAAAGTAAAAACCCTAGAACCTCATATGTGGTCTTCCCTTCTTTATGATGCCAATGCAACTCACAGACATTGCAGCTTCAGGAATTCTGTTAAAAATCAACCCTCCAATACCTTGCACCCAAGACTTTATTTGTGCATGTGAAAGCAAGAAACAGATTTGCCGCTTCTATACTCTGGCTTGTGGAAGAGAAGAGAAAGGACAAAAGAAGCTAATGTAACCAAAAGCAAAATCGCAGATTACATTTGGACAGTTGTCCATTAACCCAAATTTCAAACCCAAGTCAAAGGAACAGTTGACATTAAAAGCCCAAATTCCACAAACCAACATTCTAATAGTTCTCTCTAGTAGTGTTTTCTTTGTTCTCTAAATAGTAGGATTTGGTAAGAAGATAAACAAAATACTCGAGGTTGTTGCTTGTCAATCACAATTTAGTCACAGAAGAAAGATACAGTACTAAACAAGGGACACATGATGTGTGTTCAGCTTGTCTGCATAGCTTCTGATGCTTCTGAATAATACTTGTCCAAATCAGCATCAAGGTCATCAGCAGATATCTTCTCATTGTGGTCCCTTCCCCGTCCACGACCTCTTCCAGATCCACGGCCACCACCAGCTCCTCCACGTGGCCGTCTAAATGCACCACCTCTACCTTGTCCACTGCAAAAGACAACACAAACAAAACCAATCAGGAAAAAAATGCATCAATCCCAGCAGAAACACATAGGAGAAAAGAATTGCCACCGTACATGCTAATCTATAAGCAAATATCAATAAAAAAAAATAATAAATTCAAGACGATGATGTGTCCATAAGTAATCCCCACATAGCTGAGCAAATTCAATTAGCACCAAGGCTTACTACTTAAAGCTTATATCTTTCTCTTATCCATNTTATTTGTGCATGTGAAAGCAAGAAACAGATTTGCCGCTTCTATACTCTGGCTTGTGGAAGAGAAGAGAAAGGACAAAAGAAGCTAATGTAACCAAAAGCAAATTCGCAGATTACATTTGGACAGTTGTCCATTAACCCAAATTTCAAACCCAAGTCAAAGGAACAGTTGACATTAAAAGCCCAAATTCCACAAACCAACATTCTAATAGTTCTCTCTAGTAGTGTTTTCTTTGTTCTCTAAATAGTAGGATTTAGTAAGAAGATAAACAAAGTACTCGAGGTTGTTGCTCGTCAATCACAATTTAGTCACAGAAGAAAGATACAGTACTAAACAAGGGACACATGATGTGTGTTCAGCTTGTCTGCATAGCTTCTGATGCTTCTGAATAATACTTGTCCAAATCAGCATCAAGGTCATCAGCAGATATCTTCTCATTGTGGTCCCTTCCCCGTCCACGACCTCTTCCAGATCCACGGCCACCACCAGCTCCTCCACGTGGCCGTCTAAATGCACCACCTCTACCTTGTCCACTGCAAAATACAACACAGACAAAACCAATCAGGAAAAAAATGCATCAATCCCAGCAGAAACACATAGGAGAAAAGAATTGCCACCGTACATGCTAATCTATAAGCAAATATCAATAAAAAAATTAATGAATTCAAGAGGATGATGTGTCCATAAGTAATCCCCACATAGCTGAGCAAATTCAATTAGCACCAAGGCTTACTACTTAAAGCTTATATCTTTCTCTTATCTATCAACCAAGTTCCAAGCGCAATGATAAGCAACCAGGAGCATGAATAACCATAATCTTCTTCAATGGTCACAATAGGGATAAATTAAATTATAATGACAATATCTTGTCTATGAAGTTGTCTTTTATTTATGAAAGATGTTATCTAGGTGCACTGATGTGGTACTAACAAATTGAACATGTAAGGGAAGGTATTAATTGTCAACATAATTATCATTTTATAAAGCAGTAGCAGCAAGCTGATATGCATGCATTGACAGCGGCGCAAAACCACCTGTGAAGGTAGATAGACCTCAACACTTTCAAGTCGAAAGAAAAAAAGCCAACTTAAGTCCAGGAATAAAGTTAGAAGAGGTGGAAAGCCTAAATCAGTTACTTACCATAGCATAACTATGTTCACATCAAAGAAGCAGCACTAAAATCATGATTGCTTTTTCATAAATTCTTAAACTAAAAAACTGAAGATTAAGAAGAAAAAACCTTAGAGATTACATGTTATTTAAAACTTTTATTAGCGAAAACCTTGAATTAACTCAGCACTTTCAAACCCAACTCAACATGAGAGCACAATCAAACGCATACGTCTAACAAAATGGTCATACCCTCTAGAAAATCCATTAGAATTTCTGACAATTCCGTTAGCAGCTGAAGGCACAGCAGGAGTGGTGATGTTCGTTCCCACAATCTCAATTTTCATTGGTTTCCCATCAAGCTGAACATTGTTGTATCTCTTGACAGCAGCCACAGCATCTGCCCGTCGTGAAAAGACTACTTCTGCCGTTCCCTAAGAAAAAGAGTTTTTTGTTTCTAAACCACAGCAGGACACAAAGAATTCATCAGAAGGACCAGTTTAGCCAAACTTGATTAGATACCTTCGATCTCCCACTCCTATCATAGTGGATTGAGTACCGCTTCAGGTCACCAACTTCCGAAAACAGTTCCTGCACACAATCGCAGCAACATTAAAATTTTAAACATCACAACAGGAAATCTAGACCATTAAGATTAAGAATATCACATAATACTATTATCATAACCCATAAATTTACCACTGAAATTGCAATAACAATGATAAGTAGCAAATCCAACAGAAATAACAACTCCAGCACAGCCAAAAGAGAGTAAAAAAACAAAGTATCTCTGTATTCAAGACAAACAAATCAAATATAAACAAGTTTCATACTAATCATAAATCATAAATTGGTCTTATGTAGACTTTGACAATTATGCCCAATCAAGTAGAAATAGACGGCAGAATTCCTAAGCAATAAAGAAGCATGTTAGTACTTAACTCAAATTGACTTCGAAAAAATAAAATCATAAGAACCACTTTATCCATGCAGATCGCAAAAACATAAAAGATTTGATAAACACTCCCAATTAATACATATACTTTCCTAACAAAATTACATAAAAAATCAAACTAGCAACCTCTCTTATCATTGTCAGCATACAACTAACGAACAGATATTGAAAAATCAAAAGTGAAAATAATATAAATCCACATAAAAATAAATATTTACCTTGATGTCTTCATTAGAGACACCATAATCCAAATTAGATATGTAAAGCTTCGTTCCGGTCTCTATAGCGGAGGCCCGACCCGCTTGCTGAGCTGGAAACGCCGTCCCCTGATCTGTAAACATATCGTGCTGCCACGTCGTCTCCGGCGCCTGAATCTTCAAAATAAGATAAAACATAATTAATTTTAAACAGACTTAAGCACAAATAACTACAACGATTACAGATCTAAAACCTAAAACTTTTAAATTACCTTGGCGGCGCTATAAGGTGCCGCACGATTGGCGCCCCGGTTGGAGAAGCGGCGAGCTGGTCCAGGTCCGGATCCTCGTCCGCGGCCACGGAAGTTTCCGGATCCGGACTTTTTGTTGTTCTTGATGATGTCATCTAGAGACATATCTAAAGAGCTCGACATCTTTAATTAAAATTAAAATTAAAAATAAAATAAACTAATGAAAACTAAAACGTAGTAAACACGAGAAAATAAGAGAGAAAATTATAGAAAAAAGTATAGGAGCAGAGGAGAAAATTTAGGGTTTCGTAGAAGAAAGAAAGGTTTTGCGAGAAGAATAGCAGAAGAGCCAAAAAGTTGACCGAGGTCAGAGAAGACCCGTAGTTTTCACGCGGTTGATATTTAATAATCGTAAGTAGTTAAAGTGTTATTAAAGACTAGATGAGTGACTCGTTCAATGAGGTGTCGTGGTGTAGTTGGTTATCACGTCAGTCTAACACACTGAAGGTCTCCGGTTCGAGTCCGGGCGACGCCATTGAATTTTTGGTTCCCCCAATTTTAATGTGATTGAAGTCACTCCAAAAAATATTCATAATCACCCCCAAAATATCTACGAACTTCACACTCCCTAACTTTTTTTTTTAAATATTAAAGTCACCCCTGAAAAATATTCATAATATTAACTCCCCACCCAAATATCTATGAATTACACAACCCCGTCGTTTGAAAATTCTCTTTAACCTTTCCTGTAAGTTTGGCTCTATGAATATTCTTTTTCCTTGAAGTGATAGGTTTTTGTCAATAGTCAGCACATGTTTATAAAAACTTTTTTGCATATAAGTGATAATTTATGTCATGTTGTCATATATGTTTGGAAAGTTATATTTGTTGCAATTTACCGGGATTTGACAAGAAAGAATAAATGATGGTGTTTATAAAAAGTTTTCTTGCAATTTATAAAATAAAAAATTGCAGTTTACATCAAAGATGATTGTCAAAAGAATAAATGATACTGTTTATAAAAAAATTTGTTGGAATTTACATCAAAAAATTGTTGTTAAAAATGTATGAAAAAATAGTTAACTCATAGGGCCCAACCGGGTTCGAACCGGTGACCTCTTGATCTGCAGTCAAATGCTCTACCACTGAGCTATGGACCCAATTGGTAAACTATTCTCTCTCAATTTTATTTATTTTTTGTAATAATTTAAATAATTTTCTTAACATGCTGAAATCAAAATTTTACTTTATTAAATCTTAAAAATAATCTTTACCCCCATTAACAATTAGCCTTTAAATCTTAAAAGTACTCTTTTACACCCATTAACAATTAGCCTTTGAATCTTAAAAATACTCTTTTACACACATTAACAATTAGCGTTTAAAATCTTAAAATAATATTCCTATACCCATTAACAATTTTTTAAGGGTTTCTTAGATCATAATTTTCTTATCATTATCTCCGGCCCAAATATAAAATTAAAAATAAATAATTTTTACAAATTTTCATTAATATAGCAACCCTAATTTCAATTTTGGAGTGCTTACTCATATCAAATGATTCAAATTCAAACAAATACATGAGACTTGAAAATCACCTTCATACAAATTTGTTATATGAATTACATTTGGCTTTATATCTCTCTCANAGCGTTAAAAATCGTAAAATAATATTCCTATACCCATTAACAATTTTTTAAGGGTTTCTTAGATCATAATTTTCTTATCATTATCTCAGGCCCAAATATAAAATTAAAAATAAATAATTTTTACAAATTTTCATTAATATAGCAACCCTAATTTCAATTTTGGAGTGCTTACTCATATCAAATGATTCAAATTCAAACAAATACATGAGACTTGAAAATCACCTTCATACAAATTTGTTATATGAATTACATTTGGCTTTATATCTCTCTCAAGACCACTAGCATATGTAATTGAAATTATTCATATTGCTACTTTCTATATGTTCTTGGAAATATTCTATGATAATGGGATTATATAGATAAAGAACGTTTTTGGATTAGTATATAAGTAGTAGTTATACAAAGAATTTTATCTTTTAATATGTTTAACTCTTTTTTTTATTTTTTCTTTGGTGATCAGGGTGTTTGGATCAGCTTGTGTGCACCTTAATTAATCCTCGAGGTCTATTAAAAATCCTACAAGCCTAATGAATTAGATAAGTCAGATTCAACTAATCTTCGAGATCCGTTAGATATCCTACTGGCCCAATAGACTAAATATGTTTGACTCAAACATAAAGACTTCTAGATAACCTAAAGTCTTGTCATTCAGCCACAAGTGAACCGTTTAATTTGTAAAACTCTTGTAGTATAATTTGCTTAGAAGAGTAGTATTATTGTAATTTTTATACCTATAATCACGCAATGACTAATGTCGCTTAATGAATTGTTTTACATTCTTTTTATTTCTGGTTTGTGGTCGTGGTCCTGGTGAATATGATAAAATCTATACAAACTGGTTATGAGTATGGTAATTGCTAAGGCTAATCAAAGAGAGGGAAATGAGAGAAATCCTAAAACACGCATATGACGAAGCATAGAGAGACTGAAGCGCAAAAAAAGAAAACTCAAAAACATTCAATGGATACCTGGCCAAGAGCCATAGAGTCCCACGCATTCAGGCTAATATTTGGGAAACGAATAAAGAAAGATTCAACAACATTCATTTTGTCCTAAAATGAGATGAGATTGCATGGATACATAGATTGGACAGAACCGAAAAACAATAGACAAGTTTGCAAATTCTGATGAATTCTGTTGTGAAATCACATCAATCATTTGACTATATTGGAAAATCTTATGAAAAAGAATTGGTTGGAATATAAGCATCAATGATCAAGCTCTCCCAGTCTCCCACAAGCCCAGAGATCGAACCACGAAAGTAGAACCAACCACAACAAGCGCTGAAAACACGGTAGGAACAAAGAAATCCAACGGGGACCTCTTCGCCATACGAGAAGGCACGCACAAACTCTCCCTGGGAAAGTCCAAAGGAATCCTAACAAACCCATCTGCGTAACATGATCTTGAGAAAGATGACGAAGGAGATATAGCCGATACAAAAGCCAATTCAGGAGCAAAAGAAGCCACGGCCACTGTTAACGTCAAGAGGATTGTCCATGTTGCAGCAGAAAGTAGAAGAGGCCAACGTGTTGTGAGACGTGTGATGATTGAGTGAAGAGAAGGGAAAAACATGATGTGAAGATAATAAAAGAGTTTGGTGATAAATGTAAAATAAGTGAATGTGAAGAAGAGTTGGTTGTTGTGATCATGGCATTTCTTTTGGTTTTGCTCTTGCAGTTTTTAAGGGAAGAAACAGAGAGACGGGGGCGGATGCACGTTTAAGTAACTTGTTATCAGCACGGGAAAATGACTAATACACCCTTGCTTGTTATATAAACCATCATTTCATTTCGGCCTTATATATATATATGAGATGCTCACGTTTTTCTCGTCTCAGATTTGAATTTATGTAATTAAATATGTTAATTTTCCACCAATAATATATGTGATAAGTTATGCTTTAGTTATCATAATTCATAATTATCTTATACATAAAAAAAAAAAAAAATAAGACTTACTGATTGTTCGAAATTGCTCTGCTATTTTGTAGATAATCAAGCCCTTCTCTTGACGTTTATCCAAATTATATGCATGACATAAAGTAAGGAACCTTATAATTCTGAACAAAATCTAATTTTTGCATTTCATCCTTCGCATAGTTTAAAGGAAAAATATTCTTTTTTTTTAAGCAGGAGATTTATTCCACGCTCAGGCTCTTTAGCAAAACAGAAAAACAGCTGAGTGAAGGCTGTAATTCAGCTTAAATGGTTGATATCTGGCCAAGACAGGTGGCCTAAACATTCATTTCAGCATCTCGCTCCAAGAGTTCAGGATCAATGGATTATTATGCAATATTGGCTATCCATCAATCCATGTCTATATATTAACCGTTGAAACACAGTTATAACCAACCATTACCACTGCATCATCGAATATCCCCCAATCCAATAGCCTCTAGAACCTCAATGCAAACATGAAGTTGCTATTCGCCATGTAAAGACAATAGCATCAAACCCCATACTTTCGCACTGCCAGTGACCGCGAAAGCAATGAGTAGATGTCTTAGCAGTTGTCAACTATAATTTCGTCAGCTGAGGATGGCCAGGGGTCTCCATTCTAAGTGCCACCAAACCCATTTCCATTCATGCATTGAATCCTTGAAGTGGAGTGAGTCGATGAGGACTTACGATTAACATGAAAAATATTCTCTTTAAAAATTAAAAATATGAATTGATGCACATCAACAATAAGAGAAAAATTAAAACACAAAAATGAACCAATCACGCTTTGAACAAAAGAAAATAAGTAAATTTTCCACTTAATTTCAACCATCTCTAAAAGAAACACTTTAAGTTAGCCATGAAAAGTACTTACATCATCATCACAAACCATTTATCCCAAAAAAAGAGAAAAAAAAAACAGTAATCATCGCTAACACATTCCTTCACAAAACAACACCTAAAACTACTTTAAGAAGAAGTAAACTTTGTAACGGCCTTGGTACCCTCTGAAACGGCGTGCTTAGCCAGCTCACCGGGAAGTACAAGCCTCACTGCGGTCTGAATTTCCCTAGAAGTAATAGTTGGCTTCTTGTTGTACCTTGCCAGCCTAGAGGCTTCCTGAGCAAGCTTCTCGAAAATATCATTGATGAAACTGTTCATGATTCCCATAGCCTTAGACGAGATTCCGATATCTGGGTGGACTTGTTTGAGGACTTTGAATATGTAGATCTTGTACGTCTCCGTGCCCTTCTTCGCGCGCTTCTTCTTCTTATCACCGGCAGCGGCTTCCTTCGGCAGCTTCTTTCCGGCTTTCGGCTTCTTCTCGGCTGGAGCCTTCTCCGCCACCGTAGTCTTTTTCTCCTCCGCTGGCTTCTTCTCGGCCTTTGGCGCCATTGAAATAGTGAAACAAAAAGATTTTACGGGAAACTGTTGTTTGAATGAGAAAATAGGGGGCTTAGATTGCGATGTGACTGAAGACTTGATTGGGGTATTTTATATATAGAGCGGCGATGTTGATTATAATTGGGGGATTTTGAAGGACGAGGATTAGTGACGTGGAAAGTAAAGGCCTTTGGATTGCGAGATATCAAATTGGTAAATCTACGGCTGGGAAAGAATGCATTAAATGGGTTTTGGTTGGAAAGCATGAAGAGATGGAGATTAGTGACGTGGCCAGGGCAAGCCGTTGGATCTAGCTGTTTTGGAAATGGAATGGACGGCTTTAACAGGAATCATGAAGAAGGAGAAATTTGTTTGAATTTTCTTCAGCGCGGGTTAGCCGTATAGAATACTGTAAGGGTGTGTTTGAATTTTCTTCGGCGCGGCTATTTATATTATTATTGTCAAGAGTTAACTAATATAAAATTTCAATAACATTTTAAAATGAATCGTAAATATTATTGGTAATGTAAGAGATGATTTGATTATTTTAGTTTTTTTGGTATTTTAAGATTATTTGATAATCTTAGTCTTATTTTTATTATAATTTTATCACTTATTTTTTTAAAAAGGGACAAAAATACCCTTATTTTTTAAATTAATTTACATAAACATATCATTATAATTTTATCCCAAATTAATTAAGTTTTTAGACATTAATACCCTTATATTTAAAATAAATTTCAGCCCACCAAGACTACCACAATCGCTGGCTGCTAGCAAATTCTATCGATTGCCAACATTGAAACTGCACATGGCAAGTTGAATTTGGCCGACCGTGCGTCAATATGATCATTTCTGATCAGATCAGTTCTAGTCATTTGCGGTCAGATTTATCGATTCTAGCCATTTGCGGTCAGATTTATCGATTTGGCCAAAAATGGCCATATCGACGCATAACCGACCATATCCGACCGGCCGTGAGCTATTTGGTTTGCCGGCTATCGGTACTGCTGGTTGGCGGTTGAGAGTGGTTGGGTGGATGAGGGTGTTTTTATTGATTTTTAAACTTTTATAATATAGAGGGTTATAATTAGTAATCTAAATAATAATAATAATATTTTAAAAAGGGCAATTCAGTAATTTAAAAAACATATTCACTAATTTATTCCTCCCAACCAAACATATAAACATAACATACCCACCAATTTATTCCTTCTAACCAAACACATTAATATAACATTCCTAGTAATTTTTCAAGATAATATATCTTCTTCTTAATATAATATTCCCACTAACATAATATTTTCTAAATTAAACGCAACATTCTAAATGTAAAAGTAAGTTTTGTGATGAACGGATCGTGTAAATGATAAATAAAATTAGAATATCATTAATATTAAAGAAATTTTTTCTTGATATTCTTTATCATTTCTTTTTTATTTTGATTTCCCAAAATTAACAAAATTAAAATATTTAGAAATAAACAACAAAAACAAAATTAGAGATATTTTGATATTCAAAAAGTATGAAGTATAGTACAAACTTTATACCCAAAAAAATATATATATTGTGAATGTAGTTTTCATTTTCCATTTTGATGAAGAATACTTGATACATGGAATTTCCCCGATCTGCCAACTGATTTCATGGCATAAAAATTAGAGTATTACATTTCTACCCTCATTTGAAATGAAGATGGGCCTTACTTATAAAAATTGTGGGGTTTAAATGGTATCTATTGAAATTCGACTGGGTCATTACTGGGCTGGGTCATAGCCCAAACCACACAAAATCATTATTGAACTTGGACTCCCAGATCCGACCCTCCCACTTTAAACAAATGCCGGTTCGACCAATTCTCAGTCCCACGGCATCAAACAAACACTGCCCTGTAACACTTCCAAGCTCAAACTTCTCTTTTCAATCTCAAAATGAAGTTCACTCGTGGTCACCGGCCTCTCGCGGTCTCCAATTTTCACTCAAAACGAAACTCTTTACCTTTATCTAGACCTGTCAATCCAGGTAATGACGACAAGGAGGACACCAAATTCATCAACACCCTCATCAACATCGTACGAGGAAAACAGAGTTGGAAAGTTGCCTTGAACGACCCCGTCTTATCAACCACATTGAAGCCTCACCACGTGGAGAAGGTCTTGATCCAAACCCTTGACGATTCCAGGTTAGCTTTAAGGTTCTTCAATTTTCTAGGCCTGCACAAAAACTTCAATCACTCAACGACGTCGTTTTGCATATTGATTCACGGTTTGGTTCAAAATAACCTATCTTGGCCTGCAAGTTCGCTGTTGCAAACATTGCTTCTTCGGGGGTTAACGCCAAAAGAAGCTTTTGATGCTTTCTTAGATTGTTATGAGAAATGTGGGTTTTCCTCAAGTTTGGGTTTTGACTTATTGATGCAAAGTTATGTGCAAAATAAGAGAGTTTTTGATGCTGTATTTATATTTAGGTCAATGAGAGAGAATAATTTGTTGCCTGAAGTTAGGACTTTGAGTGGAGTTTTAAACGGGCTTGTTAAAATTAGACATTTTGTTTTAGTTTTGGAATTGTTTGATGAGATTGTTAATGTGGGTTTATTGGCTGATGTTTATGCATACACTGCGGTGGTTAGGAGTTTGTGTGAATTAAAAGAATTTATTAGAGCCAAGGAAATGATTTGTTGTGTGGAAACAAAAGGATTTGATTTAAATGTTGTCATATATAATGTCCTGATTCATGGACTTTGCAAGAGTCAAAAAATTTTTGAGGCTATTGAGGTGAAGAATAATTTGATAAAAAAAGGACTAAAAGCGGATGTAATTACATATTGTACATTAGTGCTTGGATGCTGCAAAGTGCAAGAGTTTGAGGTTGGTGAGGGGTTGATAGATGAAATGATTGCGTTGGGTTTTGTTCCAAGTGAAGCGGCTGTTTCGGGTCTTGTTGAGGGGTTGAGAAGGAAGGGAAAGATCAAGGTTGCTTTTGATTTGGTAAATAATGTGGGGAGAGTTGGGGCAGTGCCTAATTTGTTTGTGTACAATGCATTGATCAATTCTTTGTGCAAAGAGAGAAAATTTGATGAAGCTGAGTTTCTCTTTAATGTAATGGGACAGAAGGGCCTACGACCAAACAATGTTACTTATTCTATTTTGATTGATTCATTATGTAGAAGGGGAGAAATGGATGTTGCAGTTAGTTTTCTTGGTAAAATGACTAATGAGGGGATAAAAGCAACCATCTATCCATACAATTCTTTGATAAATGGACATTGCAAGTTGGGAAATTTGAATGCAGCTGAATCTTTTCTTGATGAAATGATTGATAAAGGATTGACGCCCACGGTGATAACTTACACATCCTTAATAAGTGGATATTGCAATCAAGGGGAATTGCACAAGGCATTTAGGCTTTATCATGAGATGACTGGTAAGTGCATCACACCAAATACTTACACCTACACTGCACTTATTTCTGGTCTTTGTCAAGCAAATATGCTGGCTGAGGCAATTAGATTGTTTAATGAAATGGTGGAACATGACGTTATACCAAATGAAGTGACTTATAATGTTATGATTGAAGGTCACTGTAGGAAAGGCAACATGGTAAAGGCATTTGAGTTGTTTGATGAAATGATTGGAAAGGGCCTTCTACCAGATACATACACCTATAGGCCTCTAATAACAGGTCTTTGTTCTGCTGGTAGAGTGTCTGAAGCCAAAGAGTTCATGGATGGCCTTCACAGAGAACATAACAAGTTAAATGAGATGTGTTACAGTGCACTTCTACATGGTTATTGCAAGGAAGGGAGATTAAAGGATGCACTAGGTGCTTGTCGGGAGATGATGGAAAGAGGTGTGGACATGGATCTTGTGTGTTATACTGTACTTATAGATGGATCTTTAAAACAACATGATACAAGGAGATATTTTGATCTTTTGAAGGAAATGAATGACCAAGGGTTGAAGCCTGATAATGTATTATATACGAGCATGATTGATGCAAATAGCAAAGCAGCTAATCTGAAGGAGGCATTTAGACTTTGGGATGTAATGGTTAGCGAAGAATGCATTCCAAATGTTGTAACATATACTGCTCTTATAAATGGCTTATGTAAGGCAGGATTCATGGATCAAGCTGAGCTCCTATGTAAGGAAATGCTGGCTAGCGGTTCTCTTCCAAATCAGGTGACATATGGTTGTTTTCTTGACCACCTTACGAAAGAAGGGAATATGGAGAAAGCTGTGCAGTTGCATGATGCAATGCTTCAAGGACTTTTTGCAAACACTGTCACATATAATATTCTCATCCACGGCTTTTGCAAAATGGGGAATTTTGAGATGGCTATCGAGCTGTTGGGTGGAATGATGGACAATGGCATTCACCCGGATTGTATTACGTATTCAACAGTAATCTACGAGTACTGTAGAAGGGGTAATTTACATGAAGCTCTTAAGTTATGGAACTCCATGCTGAATAAAGGTCTTAAACCTGATACACTGGCATATAACTTCTTAATATATGGTTGCTGTGTTAGGGGAGAACTCACCAAGGCTTTTGAATTACGTGATGACATGGTGAGAAGGGGTGTGAAGCCAAATCAAGTTACATGTAATGCCCTCAATCACACGACTTCCTCAAGTAGTTAATGCCTAGGTACTTGATTCTAACAGTTATGTATAGAAAATCAAATAGGTTTCCCTCGAACTCAGAGCATGGTCTTAGTTGGCAATTTTCTCCATTTTGGCCAGAACTCTGATGATTCAAGGTAACATTTTTTAACCTTTTGACAGTCTGCATTACCAGTTGAAAGATATATTACTTTAGAGAATCTCATTTGTAGATTAGCTTAATCTTGTAAAGTAAAGGTAGAGAAGAGAATGTATAATAATGTTGAATGAGGACGCCAAACTAGCATCAAGCTGAAAGAAGCCTTACCGTTTATAGAGTTGGGGCTACCTATTGAGCTATAAATTTGTTGGAAAAATACTAGTTGTTATGATTCTTTGTAACAACCTTTCTCTCATGCCAATAATACGGCATTCGGCTTAGAAACTGAGAATTGGAATATAAAGGCTCAGACACAATCAACCCCACTTCTGTCCGTTTGGTCGGATGATCTTAAAAGCAGTCCCATTGTCTTATTTGTATAGTCACTTATATTTCATCCTGCTGACAACTTGAACTTATTAACAAGCACATTTTTCAAGCTACCATAAGTCATTAGAAATGGAAGGGCGGGCTTGTCTTGGATATGTTTCATACAACAGTGTTGCTGCTTTATTTGTTGAAGACAAACCAGCATTCTGAATAGTATTCGATTGCTTACAAATTGATGCAAGGGTGAAAGAAAACTAAAAACATTCATTTTCAAGTCAAAAGATGCAGAAAACCTAGAAGGGTCCTGACGAAATTAAAACACCTTAGCTTTGTAAAAATAACTATAAGTAGCCACTCATTTCATAACTTCCACACCATATCAAATCAATAAAGACATCACCGAAATCACTGAATTGGTTCTAGATGAAGAAATGCTGCATAAGTGAAACTTCAACAACAAACCAGTATAATAATTCAGCCAGGTTCAAACTGCCTCCACAAACTATTAACACTTCACCTAAGGTAAAGCAGACAGCATTGACAGAATCTCCAATATGAGAGTTGGAGACTTTTATTTAGTTGGCACGGCTTTTAAAAACATCAAGACCCATCTCGGTCGGATCTGTTGCCTGCAGCTCTACTTGAATCCCATCTAGCTCTCTCTTGAACCTGTCCTTGGAGCTTGCATAAATCATCTTGCTACGTACCCTTGATGTATCAGGAGACCTTAATAAACAGACACTGGATATTAGCAGCTACGAGTACAAATACAGCTTTCAATAAATACAAAAACAATAGCTTTTGGCACATGATACTTACCAGGCAATGAAGAAAATCCTGCTTTTCTGACAGTTCTCCTCAGTAACAAAATCAAAATCATAGACAGCATATCGGCACTCATCCGCAGGAAGGCTTGCAGCAAAGTCTTCATAGCTTTGAGAAGGATCACCAACCTTTTCTACAATAACCTGCTTCTGCTTCTCCTCAATCTTAAACACTATGAAGCGGTAGGTTCTTTTAGCCTTCAACTCCAAAAACTTTAATTTTGTTGCTGTGATGTAAAAGTAAGTTTTGTGATGAACGGATCCTGTAAATGATAAATAAAATTAGAATATCATTAATATTAAAGAAATTTTTTCTTGGTATTCTTTATCATTTCTTTTTTATTTTGATTTCCCAAAATTAACAAAATTAAAATATTTAAAATAAACAACAAAAACAAAATTAGAGATATTTTGATATTCAAAAAGTATGAAGTATAGTACAAACTTTATACCCAAAAAAATATATATATTGTGAATGTAGTTTTCATTTTCCATTTTGATGAAGAATACTTGATACATGGAATTTCCCCGATCTGCCAACTAATTTCATGGCATAAAAATTAGAGTATTACATTTCTACCCTCATTTGAAATGAAGATGGGCCTTACTTATAAAAATTGTGGGGTTTAAATGGTATCTATTGAAATTCGACTGGGTCATTACTGGGCTGGGTCATAGCCCAAACCACACAAAATCATTATTGAACTTGGACTCCCAGATCCGACCCTCCCACTTTAAACAAATGCCGGTTCGACCAATTCTCAGTCCCACGGCATCAAACAAACACTGCCCTGTAACACTTCCAAGCTCAAACTTCTCTTTTCAATCTCAAAATGAAGTTCACTCGTGGTCACCGGCCTCTCGCGGTCTCCAATTTTCACTCAAAACGAAACTCTTTACCTTTATCTAGACCTGTCAATCCAGGTAATGACGACAAGGAGGACACCAAATTCATCAACACCCTCATCAACATCGTACGAGGAAAACAGAGTTGGAAAGTTGCCTTGAACGACCCCGTCTTATCAACCACATTGAAGCCTCACCACGTGGAGAAGGTCTTGATCCAAACCCTTGACGATTCCAGGTTAGCTTTAAGGTTCTTCAATTTTCTAGGCCTGCACAAAAACTTCAATCACTCAACGACGTCGTTTTGCATATTGATTCACGGTTTGGTTCAAAATAACCTATCTTGGCCTGCAAGTTCGCTGTTGCAAACATTGCTTCTTCGGGGGTTAACGCCAAAAGAAGCTTTTGATGCTTTCTTAGATTGTTATGAGAAATGTGGGTTTTCCTCAAGTTTGGGTTTTGACTTATTGATGCAAAGTTATGTGCAAAATAAGAGAGTTTTTGATGCTGTATTTATATTTAGGTCAATGAGAGAGAATAATTTGTTGCCTGAAGTTAGGACTTTGAGTGGAGTTTTAAACGGGCTTGTTAAAATTAGACATTTTGTTTTAGTTTTGGAATTGTTTGATGAGATTGTTAATGTGGGTTTATTGGCTGATGTTTATGCATACACTGCGGTGGTTAGGAGTTTGTGTGAATTAAAAGAATTTATTAGAGCCAAGGAAATGATTTGTTGTGTGGAAACAAAAGGATTTGATTTAAATGTTGTCATATATAATGTCCTGATTCATGGACTTTGCAAGAGTCAAAAAATTTTTGAGGCTATTGAGGTGAAGAATAATTTGATAAAAAAAGGACTAAAAGCGGATGTAATTACATATTGTACATTAGTGCTTGGATGCTGCAAAGTGCAAGAGTTTGAGGTTGGTGAGGGGTTGATAGATGAAATGATTGCGTTGGGTTTTGTTCCAAGTGAAGCGGCTGTTTCGGGTCTTGTTGAGGGGTTGAGAAGGAAGGGAAAGATCAAGGTTGCTTTTGATTTGGTAAATAATGTGGGGAGAGTTGGGGCAGTGCCTAATTTGTTTGTGTACAATGCATTGATCAATTCTTTGTGCAAAGAGAGAAAATTTGATGAAGCTGAGTTTCTCTTTAATGTAATGGGACAGAAGGGCCTACGACCAAACAATGTTACTTATTCTATTTTGATTGATTCATTATGTAGAAGGGGAGAAATGGATGTTGCAGTTAGTTTTCTTGGTAAAATGACTAATGAGGGGATAAAAGCAACCATCTATCCATACAATTCTTTGATAAATGGACATTGCAAGTTGGGAAATTTGAATGCAGCTGAATCTTTTCTTGATGAAATGATTGATAAAGGATTGACGCCCACGGTGATAACTTACACATCCTTAATAAGTGGATATTGCAATCAAGGGGAATTGCACAAGGCATTTAGGCTTTATCATGAGATGACTGGTAAGTGCATCACACCAAATACTTACACCTACACTGCACTTATTTCTGGTCTTTGTCAAGCAAATATGCTGGCTGTGGCAATTAGATTGTTTAATGAAATGGTGGAACGTGACATTATACCAAATGAAGTGACTTATAATGTTATGATTGAAGGTCACTGTAGGAAAGGCAACATGGTAAAGGCATTTGAGTTGTTTGATGAAATGATTGGAAAGGGCCTTCTACCAGATACATACACCTATAGGCCTCTAATAACAGGTCTTTGTTCTGCTGGTAGAGTGTCTGAAGCCAAAGAGTTCATGGATGGCCTTCACAGAGAACATAACAAGTTAAATGAGATGTGTTACAGTGCACTTCTACATGGTTATTGCAAGGAAGGGAGATTAAAGGATGCACTAGGTGCTTGTCGGGAGATGATGGAAAGAGGTGTGGACATGGATCTTGTGTGTTATACTGTACTTATAGATGGATCTTTAAAACAACATGATACAAGGAGATATTTTGATCTTTTGAAGGAAATGAATGACCAAGGGTTGAAGCCTGATAATGTATTATATACGAGCATGATTGATGCAAATAGCAAAGCAGCTAATCTGAAGGAGGCATTTAGACTTTGGGATGTAATGGTTAGCGAAGAATGCATTCCAAATGTTGTAACATATACTGCTCTTATAAATGGCTTATGTAAGGCAGGATTCATGGATCAAGCTGAGCTCCTATGTAAGGAAATGCTGGCTAGCGGTTCTCTTCCAAATCAGGTGACATATGGTTGTTTTCTTGACCACCTTACGAAAGAAGGGAATATGGAGAAAGCTGTGCAGTTGCATGATGCAATGCTTCAAGGACTTTTTGCAAACACTGTCACATATAATATTCTCATCCACGGCTTTTGCAAAATGGGGAATTTTGAGATGGCTATCGAGCTGTTGGGTGGAATGATGGACAATGGCATTCACCCTGATTGTATTACATATTCAACAGTAATCTACGAGTACTGTAGAAGGGGTAATTTACATGAAGCCCTTAAGTTATGGAACTCCATGCTGAATAAAGGTCTTAAACCTGATACACTGGCATATAACTTCTTAATATATGGTTGCTGTGTTAGAGGAGAGCTCACCAAGGCTTTTGAATTACGTGATGACATGGTGAGAAGGGGTGTGAAGCCAAATCAAGTTACATGTAATGCCCTCAATCACACGACTTCCTCAAGTAGTTAATGCCTAGGTACTTGATTGTAACAGTTATGCATAGAAAATCAAATAGGTTTCCCTTGAACTCAGAGCATGGTCTTAGCTGGCAATTTTCTCGATTTTGGCCAGAACTCTGATGATTTAAGGGTAACATTTTTTAACCTTTTGACAGCCTGCATTACCAGTTGAAAGATATATTACTTTAGAGAATCTCATTTGTAGATTAGCTTAATCTTGTAAAGTAAAGGTAGAGAAGAGAATGTATAATAATGTTGAATGAGGACGCCAAACTAGCATCAAGCTGAAAGAAGCCTTACCGTTTATACAGTTGGGGCTACCGATTGAGCTATAAATTTGTTGGAAAAATACTAGTTGTTATGATTCTTTGTAACAACCTTTCTCTCATGCCAATAATACGGCATTCGGCTTAGAAACTGAGAATTGGAATATAAAGGCTCAGACACAATCAACCCCACTTCTGTCCGTTTGGTCGGATGATCTTAAAAGCAGTCCCATTGTCTTATTTGTATAGTCACTTATATTTCATCCTGCTGACAACTTGAACTTATTAACAAGCACATTTTTCAAGCTACCATAAGTCATTAGAAATGGAAGGGCGGGCTTGTCTTGGATATGTTTCATACAACAGTGTTGCTGCTTTATTTGTTGAAGACAAACCAGCATTCTGAATAGTATTCGATTGCTTACAAATTGATGCAAGGGTGAAAGAAAACTAAAAACATTCATTTTCGAGTCAAAAGATGCAGAAAACCTAGAAGGGTCCTGACGAAATTAAAACACCTTAGCTTTGTAAAAATAACTATAAGTAGCCACTCATTTCATAACTTCCACACCATATCAAATCAATAAAGACATCACCGAAATCACTGAATTGGTTCTAGATGAAGAAATGCAGCATAAGTGAAACTTCAACAACAAACCACTATCATAATTCAGACAGGTTCAAACTGCCTCCACAAACTATTCACACTTCACCTAAGGTAAAGCAGACAGCATTGAGAGAATCTCCAATATGAGAGTTGGAGATTTTTATTTAGTTGGCACGGCTTTTAAAAACATCAAGACCCATCTCGGTCGGATCTGTTGCCTGCAGCTCTACTTGAATCCCATCTAGCTCTCTCTTGAACCTGTCCTTGGAGCTTGCATAAATCATCTTGCTACGTACCCTTGATGTATCAGGAGACCTTAATAAACAGACACTGGATATTAGCAGCTACGAGTACAAATACAGCTTTCAATAAATACAAAAACAATAGCTTTTGGCACATGATACTTACCAGGCAATGAAGAAAATCCTGCTTTTCTGACAGTTCTCCTCAGTAACAAAATCAAAATCATAGACAGCATATCGGCACTCATCCGCAGGAAGGCTTGCAGCAAAGTCTTCATAGCTTTGAGAAGGTTCACCAACCTTTTCTACAATAACCTGCTTCTGCTTCTCCTCAATCTTAAACACTATGAAGCGGTAGGTTCTTTTAGCCTTCAACTCCAAAAACTTTAATTTGCAGTCATCATGCACAGCCATTCCCGAAGCAGCATTAGCCTGTGAATAGAATGAAAAGGTATTACCTATTAAGACAAACATTTGATTGAAGCAACCCATAAGTGCAAACTAAAGATAAGTTTTCTCTAAGGCTCCTCCATTGTGCTTCCACCTTCTGTCAGATAAAAGTTCCCAACCTCCCATATGTTCTTATCTAACACTTTCAGTTCATTAGGGAATAAAATAATAAACTCATTCTTTGACGCACCCAGCTGCAATTGACCCTCTAGTTTCCCCTTTTTGGACTTCCTTTCCAAATATATATATACGACCTTATCAAAATTGGATCACTAGTGTCCACATTAACCTAATAAACACACCAATCTTTATGGATGCATTGTGGAACTCAACATTACCATACAAATGGTCAATATACAAATAAGATTATAATCACATGTGGCAGAAGCCATTGAATCTCACATCAATAAGGTGTCACTAGATTTGCTTGGTACAAAGCAACTCATAAACACAATAAGAAGGATGGTAAAGAGAACATTACATAACCAAGTCAAACAAGGCAGTTCAGAGGCAAGAAAAACAATTACATAACCCCATTCATCACCAAAATCCAAATCTTCACGCAACAATCATAATCATGATGAACCAAAATTTTAAAAGGCAAAATAAACGGGATGACTTAAGTCTTACAATATTAAGAGAGAATAAAGTCATACAATATTAAGAGAGAATAAAGTCATCTAAACACTGCACTGAGATGTCCTCAATAAAAACAGAGCTTAGTTAATTCTCTCCGAGACTGGCAGTTAATTTGGACAACGGCTCCAAAATTTGTAAAAATGTTCTGTAATTCATGCTAATCATAGACTCGAAAATCAACATATCATCAATTAACTTAAACTAAGATGTGAATTAGCAAAACCATAATGAATTGGACACATGATCATCCTTGTGCAATGTACCGGAACACATCATGTACAAAAACACTATCTTAAAATGTCCTTCATTATTACCATCAATAACAAGAAATCAACATATATATCTATGCCCTTAACAGAAATCAAATACCCACAAAAGCATGCACTAATAATCAAATTAACATGTCAGACCAGAAAAAACACAAACTAAATACAATCTAACAAGCAAACCTAATCATACTTCAAAAATACATCAAATCAGCCTCACTAACAGGTCTTTTATCAGCACGAGTTTCAACGATCTCTAGTCAACAAACAGTCAAAACTCAAAACACACATCAGATCTAATCAATCCTTAGCCAGAAACAAAACAGAAAAGCAATTATAATACAACAAACATCAATAAACCCAATATGATAACATAAAAATAGAAATAAAGCTTAGTTGTCAAAGTGAAAGACAACTAACTCACCATGGTTTGAAGATCAAGTGATGGTACGGAGAATTAGCAGGGAGAAGGAAACTTAATCGGGGAGGAAATGAAATGAACTCTTTTTGAAAGTTTAAACGGAGATTGTGATAATGAAGAAAGAATAATTATTTTATTTGTTTTTTCTCTTTTTAAAATATGAAAATCTGACTGACTGGTGTGTTTGGAATTTTGGTGGCTCCACAGGTCCGCCAAATATCATGATGGCGGTCATGCGTGACAACAGAGGGAAAGCGTGTCTTTCCAATCATCATTGGACACGTTGCAAGTTATAAAATGTCAATTGTGCCCTATACTCACGTTGCTTTCACGGTCGGTTTTGGACAAAATTTGTACTCTAAGCTAGCCGCTAGTGCTATTATAGGAGCAGTTTTTTCGTTTTTTATTTAAAAATATATAGAAGTATTTAAAAAAAAAATTAATTAATAAAAATTGCATAAGTTTATTTTTAAAAATAAACTAATTTCTAAGTGAGTTATTAAAATATTAATTAACGTTTTCAATATTACTAAAAAGAGTTTTGCTAAAGCACTGGACTTGTGGTCGGATGATAGAACTCTAGGTTATTCAGAAGTTTTGTATTCAAATCATACAAAATGATCACCTATCATATTTGTAACTTACCTAGCCCATAAGGTTTACATGATATTTAACTGGATGTAATTCTATATTAGATTATGTATTAAACGTGCAATTTAAAAATACAAAATATTTGTTAACAAAGATGAATATGGTGATAACAAATTGCCAAATTAAAGATCTTTAGGACGCCGAAATCAAATTAAATAATATAAGGAATAGACATATTAGATGTCATCATATTTAAATAAATAAATTTTTTTTGTTATTATATCATACTTTAGAGGGATAATGTCATTAACTTTTAAGCTAGAGATAACTTTCCATATTAAAAAAAAAAAATTTAAATAAAAATAAGATTATATATATCGAATTTGTGCACTGAATGACGTGGTAAAATCTTGACCGTTGATTAATATTAACTTATAATGAATCAACGGTCAAAATTTTGTTACGTCCATCGCTTGAATGCATTACTTAGTAAAAAGATCTAAAACCTACAAAGCAGCTGTTAAAGGCTAACAAAACATACACAAAAATAAACAATTTAACCATGAAAAGTGTAAGCTTTCGTATAAAATTAAGATAAATAATTCACTATACAAATGAATCAAATTAGACTAAATCCTACAAGAGACTTCAATTGACCTAATATAAACTAAATTCTGGATTCTGAAACGTCCATATGAATTCTCACACTGCACCGATCGCTTTAATATTAATTGTAAATATGTAATAGCTTAAACCCAATTTAATTTTAGTAACTTGTCGGCACCCCACATTTTATGTTATTAGACCTCCTTTCTAAATAAACCCCATTAATTTTTTTTAGGAATGTATAAATATTTAAATAAACCTCATGTATTTCCAACATAACCCTTCTTATTTTTATTTCAACTACTTATATTTCATGTTCTATCAATCCTTATTTTGTATAGATCCAAAAGAATCACAAAATTTTCATTTCATGAAATCTTGTTTTGATATTATTGAAGATAATAGTAATCAATTTGATTGCAAAATTAAATATTTTGGTGAATTTTCTTGTTTTTTATAATAAAATATTGTTTTTCGTGTAAGTTGGTAAATAATTTTGAAAAAGTTTATTGAAAATAAACACCACGATTTTTGGCCTTGGGTCTCAAAACAGTAAGTTATGTTTTGTTCCAGCAATAATAATTAAAAAATAGAGTTGAAGCAAAAAGAATAATATAAACATTGAAAAAAAATAAAATTATAATAAGGTTTTATAATGTAAAATGGAAATTAGGTTTTATGAAAATTATTGTTGGTTGTAGTAATGGTTTTTAATTAGTCCTATTCAGTAATTTATAGAATGGGTAAAATTGAAATTTGAAAAAACATAATTAAAGGGGTCTAATAAGAAAAAAAAGGGATACCAATAATATCATAGTTTAATTTTTTTTTTTTTAATTATTATTTATGATTGGTGAGTGTCTGGGTTAGCTTATGTACACCTCAACTAATCCTTCGGAACTCTAGAATTACCAGTCAGGTAAGAGCTCCAGTAGCTACTTCTATTAACAACCGAGAAATGATTCAAATTTAAAACCTCTTGAATAATATACCCAAAAATCTTTATCGAACCATTCGACTACCCAGAGGTAATTCAATTTATATTGTTCGCTTTAGAAGCACATATTTATTTGTAACCACCTAAAATTTAAAAATTGACATTTTTAACTTTCACCGTGTTGATTATTTTCTTATGATAAGTCTTTCAAACTCTATCTCTAACAACAAATTTAATTTAATTTAATTACTCATAAAATTTATACGAGTAGGTTATTCACGCGTTTAAGGAAGTAATCGGTGTAAAATTGAATTAGTTTATTATGCCAAGAAGCATGAGTCAACAAAGCATAATTATATTAATAATAGTATGCGACCGATTAATCATATTTCATATTATATTATAATTATATTAATATAGAGTAGAAATGCGTTTAAAAAATAATACTCAAATTTCCAGGCTCCGTTTGGTTCATTATTCTAATAGTTTTTAGAATAGTCTTTTGAAAAAAGTTAAACTGGGCGGGTATTACGATGTAGTATTTGGAAATTAACAAAAATATCTCCTATCTTTGTTTATTTACTAAACACCCCCATAATAAAATATTAAAAGTTAAAAAAAAAAATCCCCAACCCACCCATTGAATAAGGACAGGCGGCCGCCACCGCCGGCGGGTGACCAGAGTGTTTTTGCAATTTATAAAAAAAAATATTTATGGGTGTTTAGTTAAATTAACAAATTTAAGAGGTTTAAAAGAAATTGAAAAATATAGAATAATATTTTGGAAATAATTACATTTTAACTGTTTAACTTTTTGGGAAATATTGATAATAGTATTCCCAAATGCGAAACAAACGAAGCCTGAGTGTTTGAGTATAGATTATGGGTATATCAATTTGATTTGTGACTTAAAATATTGATAGAGTATTATTAAATTGATTGTGTTTAGGGCATTATTTCCATCATATTTTATCCCTATCCTAAAAAAAATACATATTTGTTTCCTTATTTTGAAAATTCAATTTTGTTTTATTCAATTATCTTTAAACCCTATAGATTTGTTAATTGAACTAAACACTCTCAATAATAAAAGTTTATAAATTAACAAAAACAACCTTACCCATCCACATATTCTCGACAGCCGGCCACCAGTTACCAGCATTTAATGGGTGGGTGGGGGTGTTTTTGTTAATTTTAAAAATTTTATTGTAGGGGATGCTTAACTAAAATAACAAATATAGAGAATTAAAATATAATGTAACCATACACATTTTCAAATTCAAATTTTACCTCGTAATAATAACCCAATTCAACTTTTTCAAAAATACTACTCAAAATAATAAAATAAACACACCCGGTTTTTAGCCTATTACAAATGTTATTTTATGGTTGTGGAAGAGAAGGTGATACTTATTTACTATTGTTAGGGCCAAAAATCGTATTGGGCTTGACGAAGCCCAATAACGAAATAAACATGTCACGGCCCAAGGCCTCAACCCAATCCCGATTGAGCTTATTCTTAAAATCACCTTGTGAACTACCAACTCTATGAGTTGGGCTATCCTATAAGTTAAGCTAAACTAGGTTTCAACCCATTAGCCTGCAACAGTATATAAATAGGAAATCAGAATCTCATTCTATTTCATCTTCTATCAATATTCAAAATCTCACTCAAACTATTAAACTTGATATGATAAGGTCAATAAATCATATCTCGTTCATGATAGGGATTATCTCCCAAAATAAGACTTAGTGTCCTACTAAGATTCAAAATTTTATTTAAACTATTAAACTTAATCTGTTAAGGTCAATAAATTATATCTCTTTCATGATAGGGATTATCTCTCAAAATAGGACTTAGTGTCCTATTAGGATTCTAAATCTTATTTAAACTATTAAACTTAATCTGATAAGGTTAAGAAATCACATTTCTTTCTTGATAGGGATTATCTCCCAAAAATAGGACTCAATGTCCTACTAGGATTCTAACCCCTTGGGTTTACTATAAAAATAGAGGCTTGCCCTCTCATTAAGGGGCAATCTCCAATAGTCAATCTAGACTACTCAAAACCATCTATTTGCTCATAAAGTTCTTGCTTCCAAGAACACGAAGCCTCCGCTGTAGTCCTAGCTTCCGACAAGACTCCTGGTAATTCTCAAGCTCCTTAATTCTTATCAAATAATCTCTTTCAGCCTTGCTGACTTGAGCGTCGGAAAGCATATGGCAAACACAACCCCGGTGTTTTTCGGAAGCTTCACACTTGCACTTTCATGTGTGCAGGTCTAACGGATTGTCAGTAGCCTCAACCTCACGGGATTAGACCCTATTTTCATAACGGTAGATTTTTTGCATCTACAACTATGTCAACTAAATAATTTCAAATATTAAAATTTTGAGAGATAATTTAAAATTTTGAAAGTTATTTTTAGATCACAAAGGGCGAAAATCAAAATGAGGACACATGTTTGTAAAAATAATTAAAAAAGGACACTAATTTATTCAAAGACAAAAATATGATACTTTGCCGATATAAGACTTCGATATAAGACTCTGTAATTTAACTTTATAAAAGGTATAAATGTAAATCTATTTCATCATACTATATAATGTAAAAATCAAGAGAGCTAATTTCAATATTAAGGGTCGTTTAGTTCACTCCTTGAAATATTATATGGTTTTTTCATTAAAAGTAAACAATAAAATTGCTCGTTGTTTCACATATCAATCCAAAATATTTAAATAACTCAACTCAACTCAACTTTAAAAAAAAAAAAACTATTCTAAAAAGTGTCAAAATAGGAAACCAAATAGACCTAAAATATGAGTCAACAAAGCATAATTATATTAATAATAGTATGCGACCGATTAATCATTTTTCATATTATATTATAATTATATTAATATAGAGTAGAAATGTGTTTTAAAAAATAATACTCAAATTTTCAGTGTTTGAGTATAGATTATGGGTATATCAATTTGATTTGTGACTTAAAATATTGATAGAATATAGTAAAACCTCTTTATAGT